CATCTAATGCCTCACACATTCATGTCAACTTGCAATTTAAGCAACAGTGAGTCTGCTAATGTCTCATTAAAGAAAACAGGATATTATAATATAAATATATCTAACAAATCTTTTGAAAATGTGGTAAAGTTGACATATTTGGAAATAGTGACAAATCAAAACAGCAAGAAATTATAGGAAGACAAAATTATGGGAATGCTTGCTTTTATGCAGTGGTATACTAACCCAATCTGCTGACTCCACTGTTATGCAGTGGTGTACTAACCCAAACTGCTGACTCCACTGTTATGCAGTGGTGTACTAACCCAAACTGCTGACTCCACTGTTATGCAGTGGTGTACTAACCCAAACTGCTGACTCCACTGTTATGCAGTGGTGTACTAACCCAAACTGCTGACTCCACTGTTATGCAGTGGTGTACTAACCCAAACTGCTGACTCCACTGTTATGCAGTGGTGTACTAACCCAAACTGCTGACTCCACTGTTATGCAGTGGTGTACTAACCCAAACTGCTGACTCCACTGTTATGCAGTGGTGTACTAACCCAAACTGCTGACTCCACTGTTATGCAGTGGTGTACTAACCCAAACTGCTGACTCCACTGTTATGCAGTGGTGTACTAACCCAAACTGCTGACTCCACTGTTATGCAGTGGTGTACTAACCCAAACTGCTGACTCCACTGTTATGCAGTGGTGTACTAACCCAAACTGCTGACTCCACTGTTATGCAGTGGTGTACTAACCCAAACTGCTGACTCCACTGTTATGCAGTGGTGTACTAACCCAAACTGCTGACTCCACTGTTATGCAGTGGTGTACTAACCCAAACTGCTGACTCCACTGTTTGCAGTGGTGTACTATCCCAAACTGCTGACTCCACTGTTATGCACTGGTGTACTAACCCAAACTGCTGACTCCACTGTTATGCAGTGGTGTACCAACCCAAACTGCTGACTCCACTGTTATGCAGTGGTGTACTATCCCAAACTCCTGACTCCACCCCGACTGCTATCACTTGCTGTATCACTTGCTGGGGTGACAGTCTAGGTTGCACCAACCACCCTGGAAACCTATACACACTCAAAGGGACAGTATGCACTGGTGGAGGCCGCGCCATAGCTCAAATGGTTAGTCGCTGGCGTCCCGATCCCGGGTCTGGTCAAGTGGGATTTGTGGTCGACAAAGTGGCGTTGGGGCAGGATTTTCCGAGTACTTCGGTTTCCCCTGCCAATCTTCATTCCACCAACTGCTCCACAATCACCTTCACCTATCATCTGGAGCTGGTACAATGTGCCAGAAGTGGCCACAGTACACCCCACTAGCAATAAAAAAAATGCACTGTGGGAGCCCTTCAAGGAGGGGGTTCAGGGTTACAGCCAAATCTTGTCTCCATATATTTCTGTTGGTAGCATTTCTGGTTCTTCAGTGGTCAGGATTCTAGGAAATAAACTTGCAACACTGGGGGATCCCAGATTGCGTATGTTTATTTATATTATCTACATGTTCATTTGATTGTGAGTTAAGTTACATAATACCATATTTATCTAGCCTTAGGTCTGTGCCCTATAAGCATCTCTTTTGTCGTAAGTAATACTAGTTACTTTGGTTGCAGAAGAGTTTGACAACGAAGTAGTACAGTCTGTGTCCCATGACTTTCTTGGGGCTGTTCTGTCTGTGGTGTGATAGTTATGGCATTGGTAGGCTATCAGGCATAGCCTACTCTAGCAACTAGTACAAAGTTTTGATATTATACTGCCCACAGTCACCAACCTAATGATTATATAATGGAAGACTACTGCGAGACAGCATTTCTTCATACTTTCAATACACAGTAAGAGTTTTTTTTTTTAAATTCACTTAGTGGGGGGTGGAGTCCTACTGGGTCCACTCGACATGGCGGCCACTGATTGGCCTATTGCAGCCTGCCCCGGGTGATTATGATGATGGAGAATTTGGTGGAATGAAGATTGGCAGGGGAAACCGAAGTACTCAGAGAAAACCTGTCCCAGCCCCACTTTGTCTACCACAAATCCCACTTGACCAGACCCGGGATCGAATCTGGGCCGCTGCGGTGGGAAGCCAGCGACTAACCGCTTGAGCTATGGCACGGCCCTAACAGTAAGAGTTTACCAGAACTGCCACAACGGCTGGTTCAGCATTTACAAACAAGACATGACACACACTGGGCAAGCAACGTTTGTTGACCAACTTTCTTGGTTGCAACAGTTTGATAGGGCGCCTTAAAGACCAAGATTTCCAAATCTTTCTTTGTTAAGCCATATGGGCATAACGCTTCCCACAATGCAGTTCAAAATTTTTTAAGTGGTCTCATCCATCTAGAAGTGTAGATTCAAATGTACAGAACTATAATGAAACCTTGTTAGTAACATTAAAGGTGAGCATATATTGTGGGTGTTTGGGAACAGGGTGAGGCGCATATCTGGACCTAACAGAGAGGAAGTGGCAAGATGTTGGATAAATAGCATAATGAAGAGCTTCATTATATGCGTTATTAACCATACATTACTACAATGATTAAATAAAGGACGATCGGATGGGTGGAACACATATTGCACATGGAAGAGACCAGAAATACATGCAAAATACATTACTACAATGATTAAATAAAGGACGATCTGATGGGTGGAACACGTATTGCACATGGAAGAGACCAGAAATGCATGCAAAATTTAGGTCAGAAAACATGAAATGAAGAGACCTGTAAAACACTGGCAGAGATAGAACGGTAATATTGAAATGAAGTTTAAACAGGGTGAGAGGGTGCAGACTGGATTCATTGAATTCTGTATAGGAACCAGCATGAGCTCTTGCATAAACCACAAAATGCAGGGAATTTGTTGACCACATGAGTGACTACATGCTCCTCAAGGGCTCTGGTCCACACAGTTAGCAATTTAATATATTTAAAATTAACCTTTCCAAACATGAAACAAAGCCATTTCTATGATAAAAAACAAATCACTTTTGCATAATAAAGTGACTGTCATAATGTTCTATCAGATTACCAATAACGTGATTTACTATGTCTGAGTAGAAAATTCAGTTAATCTTGGAGCCCTTACATCTTGTTAACACTTAAATGCCAGACTTTTGAAATGGTGGTACCTTGAGCTGACCAGAGTATATTTAAATGCCCGCTGCTTGTGCGCATTTAATGTCCGTTGTTGCACTGTGTTTAAATGTCCATTCCTGTTAGGGCGTTTGCACTGTGTTTGAAAATGATTATCTAATAAAACTTCTATGATGAATGAATGAAATTAACTCAGCAAAAAACACAGTGTCACACATTATAATGTATGATTTGAGCCTGTGTAGTCAAAAAAGTTATAAACTGTTTTTAGTTTTTTTCTTGTAATTTTGATGCGTACTGTAAAAACGGCTTCCCACTTCTTCACATAGTAGTTCTGCAATATAAAATTATTCGTGCTTGCAACATTTAAAATATTTTTGCATTCTCTGGTGCCATAAAAGAGTTGGAAGCAATAAAGTCATTTGGTTCTCTTCTGGCTAAGTTTCACATCTTTGTTACACGCTACAGATATTCCAGTCAATGCCAAGCCCTGCCATTGCAGCTGCAAGAGAATACTGGCCTTTCTATGGTTGCAATCCAATGCTTGCATCTCAGCTGAGATTCAGAGTGCATTCAGTTTTCTGTGAGGTCACAGTGAATCTGAATATTGTAGTTTCATTTTATCATACAATGGCAGTGTAACGTTGTTTGGAAGATAATGAAATTGAAAGGCAGTGCAAGACATGTGACATGGGACTGTGCTTTCTAAGGTGCTTCATGAGCATTACACAAAGGCGAGATTCAGTTACATGGCACAGGGGTTGAAGCCTGTATATATGATGAGCAGATAACAAAAAAAAAAAATGTATATTGAATTTTGCTATATTTATAAATAAATATTTACGATTGTGCATATGCTTCTACTAGCAGCGTGTGCATGAGCTTCCACTAGCGGTGCTTAAGTGCCCGAATGCACAAACTGAGGTACTATGGCTGTAACAACCATACTCATCAGTGTACCAGTCGGTGCACTTTGGATGTTAAAGGTTAAAGGTGATCCTAAAACACTATTCCATACTGATAACTTCCAAAATATCTACATAACCAGAATGTCTTTATCAGTGACCTGGCCAACATGTTCAAAATAACCTTCTGAATAAGAACTGATAACAAAACAGTAAAATGAGAACAATTTTTATTCCTTTCCACGATTACCTATATTCTTCAAAGAAGAAGTTTATCTAAGCTGCCACTCCCAATTATTGTTTCTAAAACTTGAAAAGTGAGATATAACACTAACGATGGAAAACCAGCAAAGAGATGAATGTTAGCCGATATTTTTTCTGGTCGTGTGTTCAGGACTGGATCTCCATATATGTACTAGACATTTATACTTCAAGGTTAAGTCAATCTCTATTCAGACATACAGTACCTACATTCAGTTACTTTCCTTCACACTTTCCAAAATGTGAGTACTCCAGAATATATTACTACACAATCTGTAACATGAAATGTTAGAACTTCACAGCACACTTCATAAAATGTGAACATACAGTAACATATTAAATGTGAAAAAATATGACAAACACTATGTAAGATTTGAGGTTTTCACAGTGGTGACTATGAAGAAAGCAGTCTTCTGGGATGTGGCACAGTGTAGATGTGAAGATGGAGGCGATACGTTCCTCCGAAACGTCGGTTAACACCACATCTACATGGTGCCACATCCCAGAAGACTGCTTTCTTCATGACAAACACTGTTCATTTTGTGAAACACACACAACAAAACAGATACAAATACAAAATACAAATACTGCATGCACACTTCATGAAACACAAATCCTTCAGAATTTCAGGACAATCTGACACTTCACAACATATTCTTGAGATGTGAATGTTCCATCATTTGTCACTTTGTCTGAATTTTTTCAAAAATATACATAGATATCAGTACAAGTGAAACCCACCTTTGGTACAAATAGAGGAATCTCATCCTGTGCTGAGGTTGCACCATCATGATAGAACGGTAACCATATGAGCACCCACACAATACCCAACGTACCAAAGAGGTAGAAACCAGTCTGCCATGACAGATATGGACATAGCTAAAAAGAAATGTAATGGTAAGTAGTACCACTCACATATCCACATACATAATTCATGGTATCCGTCTATCCATAACACTCTGTATCTCGGAAACTGTAATAAAAAATTGTTCATTTTAGAAAGAAAATTAGGAATCCTGTTAATTTTGCTGTTACATACATGGATTCAAGTTCAAGACAATTTTTTCCCCCAACAATGGGGCTGTGATAACCATAAGTATTGTCATGAGAGGGAGTTTCACTACAGATGGAGTTTGGATTCATGACTGGATTTACTGACCACTTACAAATCATAACTACAAGTAATTATGGTGCTACCGCAATCTCCACACTTTACAAATCAGTACAGCACATGCTAAGCCTTCTGTCTGCTTTCACTAGTAGTTTCTCAGTAACAGATCTTAACAACGGAAATTCTTCAGCTTCAGAGCTCATGTCTTTACCATCTGGCAAATATCCCACAACTGCCCTGTTATTCCAATTGACTAACTCCCAGGCTGGCAGCCATCTCACACCAACATCCTAGTCTTCTCTTCACAGATTGACTTACAACTGACTACTGCTCAGAAGCAGAAGCAGAACCTTGCTGCCGGCAAACAGCCAGCATAGACACTCATGGTATCGGGCTACATGGGGACCCATGCCCATATATTTGTTCACCTCTAGTTAGTTAGTTAGTTAGTTGTTTAGAGAGGGTGGGTTTCCCCATGCACCGCGACCAGTTTGATCTATTGTGCTTTCCTCTATGATATTCTACGTCTCTTTACCCTACCAATAAATGGTGCGTACCATCAGTCCCACCGAGCAAGCGAGTTCGGCCATTTGCTTAGCGGTGTCTATAATGCTTCTCCCATCTATCAGAGGCCTTAGAGGCTATTGTTGGGCGGGAAACATCCTGGAATTTGGCTCAGTGATCCCCTTTGGGGATATGAGGTTCTTTTACGTGCCGTAAAGTTACGACACAGGACACACAGCTTAAAGTCCCTCCCAGAGGACTTCTGTTCACCTCTAAGACCATTACATTTCTTTTTCTGCTTTGTTGGACCTCTTCTTCAAAGAGAGGAGTGGTTAATCTCTTTAAGTAGGTGTCCACATATTTCGCCTTCATCAACTGGATATTATACTATTCCTACAGGGACTTAGGTGGGGGCATATATATATATATATATATAATTATACACAAAAAACACACTGACAGTTTATTCTAATATATACAGAGAGCTCTGCCAATGCAGGCTTGTGAATCAGGTTATGCCTTCACTTATTTAAACCTCAAGATGGCACTTAGACACCTTAACGGTCACATGCCTGACCACCACCAAGTTTAAGCCTACTGTATGAGTGACTACTTCTCAGCTGAACTCGCTGCAGTGGGAACCTCTCTGTTTCACAGTTGCTACCTAGTAACAGGTCTACATGCTATATTCTCACAGCAAACACAGTAATGAAATCTGATCTAAAAGCTAACATGAGCAAGTCGAAACACCTTGAGACATTTCAGCCATTATACTTTATATCAACAATGGAGTACTAAAAATGGTTTTTATTACTTCATTATTAAATTTCATTTACTTTTATCTATAGTTTATTTCATGACACTCAGTGCCTCATGCAATACAGAACTGAATAATCAGATGATGATGATGATGATGATGATTATGGTGGTGATGATGACGACAACTATGAATACTTAATTGAAAAGCACACAGGAGTTGTCATGGCCTAATTTTCAGGTGCTATCCTACCACTTGCCTGATGGACTGAGGAAAACCACGAAAACCCTCAGTCAGGATACTCAGTGTCCTGGCCAATATCTGATCTGCGCACCTCCCAGATATAAGTCAAAAGCACCACTACTTGATCCAATTTGCTTAGTGTATTACTGTATTACTTTGATTAGTATGCAGACTGTTTCTGAAAGTATTCTACTTCCTAGTTAATGTGAGTAGTCTATACTTAGTTGTCAACTCTGTTATTGCATTTGATTTGAAACCATTTAAAATATGATCATCATTTTCATCGAAAGCTTAGATGATGATGCGGATATAAACTGAGCATGGGAAACAATTACAAAAAATATAAAAATTTCAGCCAAAGAAAGTGTAGTTTAATGTAAACTGAAGCAGTATAAACCATGGTTTGATGCAGGATATTCAGAACTATTAAATCAAGGAAAACAAGCCAAACTGTAATGGCTACAGCATCTGAGTCATATACAGGGTGTCCCAGGAGGAATGGACCAAACTTCGGGGGGTGTTCCTTATGTTAAAGTATGCCGATATAACCCAAAACACCTATGTCCAAAGCTGAACGGTTACGGAGATAATGGTCCGAGAAAAGTGTGGTCTTCTTGCAGGTCCACACGCTATAGCTATCAGCTGAGACCCTTATCTGTTTGTACTTGAGTGCTGTGAGTCACTAGCTGTAAGCGCTACCTACCAGAGCCTACAGATTACGTTGCAGCGGGGTCGTGAATGGGTGGTAAATTAGTTGTGTGATGAGTTGCTGAAATGCCTCTTGTGTTTTCACACGTGGAATATTGTGATATGCATTTTGTGTGTGGATTTTGCGGTCGCAATGCACGTGCTGCTGGTGAAGAATACCAAAGGCGTTTTCCCGATCGAAGGATTCCATCTCGAAGTTTATTTACGCGAATTCACCAGACATTGCGTGATACTGGTTCTCTTGCAAGTGTTTCTGTGCACTCTGAAAGGCAGGATGTACGAATGATAGACACACGAGAGCACATTCTTGATATTGTTCAGTGAAGTCCGCGTCTTTCACTCGTAGAATCACCTCTCGCATCGGCGTATCACGTATTCAGGTGTGGCAAACTTTACATCATGAAGAGTTATTCTTACCATGATCAAATGGTACAACATCTGGAACCAGGCGACCATGCACAGCGTATGGATTTGTGCCACTGGATAAAAAGTTCATCCCGAACTGTTAAGCGTCATTTTATTCAGTGATGAGGCGTCTTTTACCCTGGATGGTGTAAATAATTTACGAAATGTGCATACGTGGTCCCATAATAATCCACATGAGATAATGGAAACGAAATTCCAAAAGAGATTGTCCGTGAATGTACGTTTACAGTTATGTGGTCGGGTTATAGCGCAGCCATATTACGTCATCGCTCGCCAGTCATGTGTCATGTATAGTGCTTGGAAACCCTAAGGACAATTATGACATGGCGAGCGAGTATTTCGTACTTTCAATTTTATGGCTTCACGTCACTCACAAGTTAGTTTGATGTTACGTACATTATTAACATTACAGAATCCACATATTCCTGCCAGTTTTAATATGTATTTTGTAATCAACAAGTGTGTAACACCGGTCAAAGTTTGACACTTCTCTGGCCATTATCTCCGTAAGCGTTCAACTTTGGACATAGGTGTTTTGGGTTATATCGGCATACTTTAACATAAGGAACACCCTCCCGAAGTTTGGTCCATTCCTCCTGGGACACCGTGTATATAGAAAAAATTTGATCAATGTTAAGACATGGAGCTAGCAGACATTGCAAGAACAAAAAGTAGAAATACCTGAAAGACAAAATTAATGGGCTTGCAACACACAGTAAGAACTTAAACATAAGATTTATACAAAGGTGTAAATAAATTTAGGAAGAGTTACTAACCTAGAAAAAACTTGGTAAAGGATGAAAATGGTAATCTTCCTGATCCCCCAACATTTTGAATAGGTGGAAGAATAATTACTTATCTTGGGTACTGAATGTATACAGGATGACATAGGAAGATGTAAATACACACAGCTGAGTTGTCGGTACCTGAGCCTAGTCCTAATCATGCTGAAATTTCTGCTGCAAAGTTGAAAAGTTATAAATAGATATGTACTGATCAAATTCCAGCAGGATGTAAAACATTGTGTTCTGATATCCATAACCTCATTAATTCTCTCTAGAATCATGAAGATCTGCCTTAGAATTATAATCAGTCTATTATCATACCAATTTACAAGCAGGACAATAAAACTGACTGTAGCAATTATCGAGGCATATCATTGTTATCAACTTCATACATTTTGAAGAAAGTCTTCTGGGTTTAGGCGCTGTGTATTCTTCGTTTTGGCTGACGTTCCTCCGAAACGTCGGCCAAAACAAAGAATACATGGCGCCTAAACCCAGAAGACGACTTTCTTCATAGTCATCGCCGTGAAAACCTCAAAACTTTCATACATTTTATTCACCATAACTTCTCTCTAGGTTAACTACATATGCAGACAAATTATTGGAAATCATCAGTGTGGGTTTTGGCACAACAGATCAATTACTCCAAGACTTTTTCACTTGCCACATATTGAAGGAAAGAAGAGAATACAATAACACAGTACATCAGCTATTCCTACATTTCAAAAAAGGCCATGATTCAATTAGGAGGGATGTACTGTATACTGCTCCCACTGAGTTTGGCATACCCATGAAAGCAGTTAGGCAAATTAAAAGGTGTTTAAATGATACCTACACCAAATTATTTGTCTGATATGTTTCCTATTCAAAGTGGTCTGAAACAAAGAGATGTTTTAACACCAATGCCTCAGAATATACAAATTAGAAGGTCCAAGATAACCAGGAGGGACTGAAACTGAATGGGACATCATCAGCTTCAGGTCTATGTTGATGATGCAAATCTATTTGGGAATAACATAAGTACCATAAAGGAAAACACAGAAGCTCTAAATAATGCTGGCTATGAGGTTGTCTAGAAGTATACAGAAAACTATGTACATGCTGGTGTCTCATGCCCAGACTGCAGCAGCAGCAGCAAAAAAAAAAAAAACTAACAGATGCTTTGAAAATGGGGCAAAGTTCAAATGCTTCAGAATAACAGCAACAAATCAAAATTAATTCATGTGGACATTAAGTCCAGAATAAGCTAAGGTAATGCTTGATACATTTCTGTTTAGAACCCTCTGTCTTCTCTTCTGTCTAGAAAAGTAAAGATCAAAATAAAAGTACAGTCAACTCACGATTA